CGCAACAGAACCTAACTCCAGACCAGAGACACTATTCATAGCCCAGAAATAATCTTGTCATTCTGCACATCTGAAAACTCCCTTTCAGGGTAAAGATTCATCACACCCATAGCAATATGTCACGTGAGTAAAAGCCCTCATTTGCCAGGCTTGTATCTCCACTTCTTAGAAGAACAGCACATTTTTTAAAGAGGGATATGGGAGGTGTGGGGAAGAATTTATTCAAGTTTGAAGTTCAAGGTTTTTCAGAAAAGCTCCACCAAAGCTAGTACTGAGCTGGCAATTTATCTGGGTGGGAGTTAGACCATGACCTGGAGTTTTGCCCAGGAAGGGATGCATAACAAGTCAGGGAAGCGTGACCACTCACAGGACGACAGTAGCTCTTTCTAGAGAAATGGCTCTGCGTCTCTTCTCGTTTCCACATTCTCATCTCTGCTCGTGGCCTTGGTCTGGCTGAGACATTCCAGACCCACAGAGCGGGGGACCGGCCTCCCTCACTTTCATGCAGTGCAGCTACTGTATCAGAACCACATTCAAAACTGATTCTAACAGCCTGTGACTCATATATCGACTAAAAGAAATGCAGAGGAAAATAAACTTTCAAGAAAAATCTGAGAAAAAAAGAGTGATATTTTTTAAAGTATTTTTGTGCATAAAACCTCTTTGCAACTCTTTCCTGTATAATACTAGGCAATGTTGACTTATTTTAGCATTCGACATTTATATTAAAATATCAGACCAAGGATGTTAGAAAATCCACACTAAAATTCGAAAACAGACATTCCCAGTTTATAGTATCAATAGAATGAGTATTGGAGTTTGTCCGCAGTGGGCACCTGTTGATAGCCTGGATCCTTCGCTACCTAGTCATGGAGACAGCTGGTGCCACAGGGTTTGCATGTGCCTGCAAGTTTAAGACGCCTGCCTCTCGGCCGTCAGCAATTCTTTCCTAATCCCTGCCCGCAGCGCTAGTTCTTCTCTAAATTTCCTCCACACACTCTCCTGCCCCGGTGGCTGCTTGCTGCTTTACCTTGAGGAAGGTGTAAGGATCCTCTGTGGGAGCCATGTGTTCAGTGTCAGCCAAAGGAAAATGAGCTCCTCAACTGTCCTTTGGCTGCTGTAAGCTATTCTTTCCAGAATTAAAGGGGGGAAAAAAACCTCTCGTTTCATGTATGCATTATATCTCTCTTATCTCATATAGAAATAAGTGTGGTTTACCGAGGAGCTGCTGCAATTTCCCTTGATCTTTTGAAAGAAAAAAGGAAAACAAACCACAAATCCCACTTCCTTCGACATCAGTCTTTTTAATCCTTTTATATCCAATGACCTTTCCTATGCACGTCTATTAGGAGGGTTCGCATCCCTACACTTTCAGAAAGCGCTCCCCTGCAGAGCAGGAGGAAACAGGGTGAGCCCCAGAACCCCGTGCCACGTGGCAGAGGATTTACACAGTTCATCCCACCCAGCTCTGCTCACGTCTGGGGAGCAGCGATAGCGTGTGAAATAGCCATGCGGGGCGGAGAGCTCACCCTGCCGTCACGGAATGGGGTGCGGCAAACAGGAACCCGCAGGACGCAACCCACACTTTGCCTATGTCGTGTTCCAAAGGCCTAAATTACACACGTTAAGTATCTCGGGCCCGGGGGAATAGGCTCTTCTCTGATCCTTGGACTTACAAGATACCTAGGTAGTCTCGCCCACTGGACAGTCTAACAAGGGAGTTATCCGAGGTTCAGGAGCTCCGCAGATCTCTCCAACCTGTGGAGACGCTGGCTTCACCTCCACTCAGCAGAAAAGCTCAGTGGTCATCCCAGTTCGCCAATCAGGAAAAGGTGATTTCTATTATGGCAGAAATATATTTCTACCCTGATGCGCTGATAAAATAGCAATTTCTAGATTTCATGGCTAATCCCCCAATGCCAGTGTCCTAGGACATCCAGACCACAAGCTTATCCTTGTCCACACGCGTGGCACGCCTTACTCATGCACAGCAATTGCACGCTGCTTTGTCATTATGTTGATGTCACTTTGCCCAGGGGTTAGGAATATTTAGCTCTGCACTGATTTTCTTCCTAATAATCCAAATGTTTGAATGCCGTGCCTACTCATTCTAACACTTCCCGCGTCTTTCCTATCACATCCAATGTCACGGGGGGGGCAGGAGAAGACAAGTGTCAACCCCTTTGTATCTAAGAGTTCTCTGCAAGTCTCCCATTAAAACAAATGGCAGCAGTTGTCTGGGCCTTGTGGAGGTGCGTGATGACTCACTGAGGCATAGGCTCGAGGTCATCATGTCCAGAATAGACCCTCCCCAGAAAACATGCGGGCTGGCCTGCCTAAGGAAGTATCTGCCTAAGTGCAGAGAGTGGCAACATTTGCCCTCCCAGCCCTCCCAGCCTTGCACTGAGTCTGTCCGCCCAGCAAGGGGAATACCGTGGGCTGCACCCCTCACACCCCAGAGCTGTGGCGTCGGCATCCCTCTGCCAGGCTTGGACTGCCCCAAAATAGTCCTGCTGATGCCAGAGTGTCTTCCTATGTGCACACGCCCAGCAATGGTCATTTAAAAATTGGTTCTGTCCCTCCCTAAGGCCATCTGCCCAAATAAAGAGTGTCCAGTCCTGCTTGTGGCATGGATAAAACAGCCACAGCACCCTGAGCCCAGGCAGCACCTGTTTCTGACCATTGGCAGAGTGCAGTGTGCTGGCCCAGGGCAGGCGGGGAGACTCATGATGATGAGATGAGCAGTAATGTTTCCTCTCATTCAACTGGATAGCCACCCTGCTCTCGGGAAACAAATGGTCACACACAAACAACACAGCATTGTGCCATGAGAGAAATTAAAAGTTAAATTTAAAGGAAGGGTCCTCTTAAATATCTAGTTTGGTGGCTTTGAGAATGGGTTCTCAGAACACCTTGCACACCTCAGAACTCGCAGGGGATTTTTTTGTGAGGTCCTGAGCAAGAAGACCCTCAGCCTCTCCCCATCTGCGGCACAAGATTCCTTGAAAAAAAGAAAATCCACTGGTCATAGGCATGAATATATGAGTACATATCAAATGCTTTTTTCTTTCTATAAAGTTCTCAGCCAAATATAATTTTTTGGATATACTATTTCCTTACACAGGTTATAAAATGGAAAAATGACCAACAATTTTTTGAAGGTATCAAACACACACACACACACACACACACACACACACACACACACTTCTCTAATTGGACCAAACCCAGGATCAAAACATTTCTGAGTTTGAAATGATCATGCTGCCCATAATGCATTAGTACTAAACTACTGTTAATACATGTTCCCTTTATTGATTAACTGAGATTTTAAAAGAAAAGCAAGTAATGAAAAGAAATAAATATTTACACATTTTAGTAGAATATTGTCATTTCTGGGACGACCACTAAAAATATGCACCCCATTTAGAACTTTGAATGAGACTAGGGTAGAATGGTGGTTTGGGGGAGAAAAAATATTTGGCAAAGATGACACTCATTTTTAAGGGATATAAAGGGGTGGTCTTATGGAATTATGAATTAAAACAGAGAGATGATAATTTATGAGACCTAAGTGAGAGAAGCCAGATACAAAAAAGCACATATTGTATGATTCCATTTATATGAAATATTCAGAACAGACAAACCCATAGAGGCAAAACGTAGATTAGTGATTTCTTAGAGCTAGCAAGGATGAGGGGAGAGAAGAGAATGGGGTTTCTTTGTGAAGTGATGAAAATATTATGAAATCAGAGAGTAGTGATATTTGCACAACTTTGTGAATGTACTAAAAATACCACACTGAACTATACTCTTCAAAATGGTAAGTTGTATGGTATGTGAATTATATCTCAATAAAAATGTTTATTAAAAATGATGAGCTCTAATGGGTAAATCCAGTGAAAGAAAAAAGTTGAAATAAAAGACAAAGGCAGAATAGATTAAAAAGGGCTCTTCTTCTCAGAGTGGTTTTTTTTTAATAGAGCTCTTTGAACAGAGGGTCCATATCTGATTATTCTTTTTACTCCCTCTGCGGATTTAAGCACCCTATTATGCAAACAGAGTTGTGTTACCTGACCATTGATTAAATGATTGCAAGAGGCATCAGGAACTCTCTTTGCAATGATTATAAAGACAATAAAGCTAATCATTCTTTTTCTCTCTTTCGACTGTCACGACAATGTCACCTAGAAACACCCTGTCACTCTGGTCTGATGTTACAATATAGCACAGTCACGTAAACTGACTCAGTCGCACTGAAATACGTCTACTTCTCTAGAATTATTATCTTTATAAATAATAGCCTGTGCTTATGTTTCCAAGTCTGGCTTTAACTTCCTAATGAAATGAAAAAGCCTTAAAATTCACCAAGACTCACCTATTCAATTACTTTTGTGTTTGTACTACAATCATTTTATCAGGAATCTGACTAGTTGAGAAGCTGACTAAAATAAATGCAAGTTTTACGCTGAAAAAAATGTGTTTAAATAATGCACCTATACCACATTAAGAAAATTGAATGGTGATGAGGTAGAAAAAGATTTTTGTTCTTATGATAAACAAACTGCAAGAATATGTCAAAATATCCTCACAGGGCTATTTTTTTAAGAGCATGCAAAAAATTTGCCTATATCCTGACGTTACAGAGACACGTTAGGACCCCCATTTTATAGTCAGAAAATTAATAGGGTAAGAGAGATTAAAAGGCTCGTGCACACTCAGCATGAGTCAGTGGCAGAGCTTTCCCCCCTAAGCCTCAGTGTTCTCATCGGTGTGATGGGGCTGCAATGGGCAGAGACTGGCACATGGTGAAGTGTGTTAGCACCTGGAAAATGGAAAGTCCCCGGAAAGTGACATACAGCGAGCACTCAAGAATGATGGTATACGGATATCATTGTGTCACTGTAACTAAAAGACTGACATCTGAATCTAGAAATGAAAAACGGGACAAAATGAAGAAAAAGCGCAGTTGGAAATCACATGCTTGGCACTGTACCTACCTGCAGCGATATATGAGCCACCCCCAGCTTTGTAGAGAAAATGGCTGGCAAACGGGGCCGCACAGATGATCAAAAAGCTGGCGGTGACCACAGTGACGACCCCCAGGAGCATCAGCACGGCCCAGAAACCACGGTAAACTGGAGACCGCAGGAGAAAAGGGGAGAAACAAAGTGGTTATTACATTGTGGACACAGCAGACTCACACAGTGAGCTTTGTTTCATTCCTTTTTCTAATTTCAGCCACAGCACTGCTAGATGGAATCCCCAGGTGTGGATCTTGAATTATCTTAAATCAGGGATCTTAGCAGATGACCTTGGACTCAGCGATGTCCATGTCAGTGACCTTCAGTCAACTCCACCTGCTCAATATTTGCAGCGCACACATGCTCGTTTTTCTGACCTGATTTTCTACTGTAGAAGTGGGAGCACTTCGTGTTCTACACAGACCTTCCTCTGTCGTGTCAGTACCCAGTTGGATAACATATAGGTGTTTTATACCAAATTTACAGAGACATGAAAAGGTGTTCACATTATTTACAAACACTGCCTTATATCTCCTGCTAAGATACATTCATACAGCAATGGTCCCTGAGAAGCTGATAATAATCACCTCAAACCCCTAACGACAATAACCAAAAAAAAAAAAACATTTCTATTTAGATCGTGGCTCTGTTAGAAAACAGCCTAAGGCAATACAAAATGGCAAGCAAAACTATTTTTAAAAGTTTGCACAACTATGCTTTCCAAGCAAATCTGATTTTAAATAAGATTTATTTAAGGCATGCTACTTTCTCTTAATATTTTTACTTAGAATGGTTCAAAATGAGAAGTACAGGAGTCTCTAAGTCAAAGAAGAGTAAGGCTGAATTAATGGCTGCAGCTGGCAAGAAATGGATCGTGTGTTTAGTGATATGTATTAATAGTAAGCAAATAAAAAGGAATTCTGATGATCACTTTTGAGTGGGATAATTATGGATCTATTAAACAAATTCATCATCTCCGAAAGGCTAAAACACTAAAATAAAATCTTGTTAGTATAAATGGGGAAAAGCTCAGCGAAACACATTAGTCAAATTATGATATTTTAAGAAAATAAAGAAACTTTATAAGAAGGCAAAGAATGATTTTTCTCAACAAGCCTGCCCAGAAAAGAAGAAATATATCCATCAGCTGGAATCTTAGAGAAAAGACGAGAGGAAGGTGGCAATTTGGCAAGAGGAGTCACCATAGTTACATGGGACAGGAAGGCTAGAATTTCTGTGTGGACGAGGAAGTCCCGAAGATGGGACTAAAAGGAAGGTGTTTACGTTCCAGCCATGGCCTGGCTTCCACGTGTGCCGCGTTAGGCTGCGGCTGTGTTCAGGCCCGGCGGGCAATAGAGCGCTGGAAGGATAGTAATGTTGATTTTTCAGTGTGGGAACTCAGAGTGGCAGACTGTGGGCCATATATTTGCTGTCTTTGTCCTACTAGCGTTTATTAGACAATTGGTGAGTCCCACATTTTGCATTTTCATCCACTTCATTTACAAAAAGGCTAAGGTTGTCTGTCACAGGACGCGTTCTATGCCAAGTGCTGGGGTGTAGCCGTTAGTGAGAGGCGGTGCAGGAAATAAGAAGCCCAGTCCATTCTCCCCCGATCACGGCTGAAACTGGGTAAGTGTGACCAACAACTACGTGAGCACTGTGAAAAGCAAAACTAGAAGCAAGCAAATTGAGGATGGAAATCAAATCTTAAAAGATCAGCTAGGCTGCTAAGATTATCTGGGTTTTCTTCTTTTTTTTTCTCCTCATGGATTTGGCCCGAGGGTGAGCCAAATTGGGAATGGTATAAAAGGTGCAGATAGCAGGAAAACCCTAGTGCAGTCCATTGTTCTGAACAGAGATCTAGGAAAAGAGGCCCCTGCAAGCCAGAGTGGGGAGCAGGGGGGAATCTCCATGTTTATTTTCTCTTTTTATTCCCCTCGTCCTGCCTCTAGGTCAGTGTCAGACATAGATCTGCACTGCTACCCTGGTGGAGCTATGGGCTCTTACAGACCCAAAAGATGACCCAACCCTCTGGATAGAGGAGCCAGAAAAAGAGACCCTCATAGTGCAAAGAGCGGGAGAAGAATCACGATTATTTATTTTTGTCTTTTCTCTTGCTGCTTTGCTGTGTGACCCACCTGGGCCATAGCACAGGAGGCCCAGACTCTCAGAGAATCCAATCTTTTGGGCCAGAGAAACTGGGCAAAAGGGCCCTAGAAGCCAGAGGGTGAGAAGGAATCCCATAGAGGAGAGAGCTGCAGTAGATAGAGACTCTAAAATTCTGTGTTTGAACCTACACAAATACCAAGCTTACCCCTAAGTTGCACATGCACAGAAAATGGCCAAAGAATTATAGCAAAGGCTTCGAGAAGTGAATTACAGTATAAAACCCACCCAGGTACCAGAGCAATCCCTGAGTAGTGCATGCCCCAGGGCACATGACACAAATAGCATAGGAGACACTTTGAAAAGTGAACTGACATTGAAACTGCCACCACAGAAAAGAAGGACAGAATAAGCAAGTTGATTGCTTCTTGGAACAACAAAAAATCAATATTATCCAGAGAATTTTAACAGTATTCAAAACTGACAGCACAATATTCAAATGTCCAAGATACAAGCAGAAATGACTCGATATACCTACAACCATGAAAGTCAGACCAATTCTCAAAGGGACAGGCAATCTGCAGACACCAACCTAAAGATGATTCAGATGTGTCAGTTACAAGACAGACTTGAAAGCAGAACTCAACAACATGTCCTATGGACTGAGGTGAATACTCTTGAAATGAATAGAAAGAAATTCTCAAGCATGAAAGAGAATCTATAAAAAAAAAAAAAAGGACTAAATTGAATTTTTAGAATTGGAAAATACATTATCCAAAATTTCAAAATCTGCAAGATGTTTTCAATAACAGAATAGAGATCAGAGAGGAAAGAGTAAGTGAACTTGAAGGTAGAGCAATAGAAATTATCCAATATGAAGAACAGAAAGGAAAAAAGATTAAAAACAAAATGAATGGAGTTTCAGAGACTTGTGGGATAGTATCAAAAGTTCTCACATTTGTTTCATTGGAATCTCTAAAGCAGAAGCAAAAGATAATAGTGCAGAAAATAATTCATAAAAGTGATGCCTCAAAACTTCCAAAGTGTGGTAAAATTTACAGAATCAAGAAACTCAGCAAACTCCAAAGAGAATAAATTCAAAGAAATTATCCCAGACACATAATAACAAAATTACTGAAAACCATAGAGAAGGAAAAGTCCTGAAAGCAGAGCAAAAACATAAAGACCTATTATATAGAGAAAAATAATCTCAATAATTACAAATCTACCAACAGGAATGTTGGAACCCAAAAGATAGTGGGAACAACATTTTTAAAGCACTGAAAGAAAAGACTGTCAACCTAAAATTCTGCATCAAGTGAAAATATCTTAGAGAAATTAAGGTAAAATAAAGCCATTTGTGAAGGAGGAAAACATAGACTTTGTCACCAGCAGACCTGTTCTGTAAGAAATATCAAAGGATGTTCTTCAGAAATAAAGGGAGACAAACAAATGATGAACATCTGTATAAATATAGTAAATTATTTTTCTCCTCTTAATTTTATTAAAATATATTTGACTGTTGAAATAAAAAATATATATACCATCAGTATAATACAGTACAAAAATATAAGTTTTGGAATCAGAGTGACTTGAGTATTTATCACTTTCACTGTGTAATCTTCGACTAGTCACTGAAGCTTCCTGAACCTCTGTCTCTTCTTCTGTAAAATACAGCTATTGTGTCCAGCCTTGAGAGCTATTGGAAGAACTATTTATAATGTATGTGTAGTGTGTGGCACATGATAAAAGACCAATTAGTAGTATTTATTTTGTTGTTGCTCTTATTGCTGTTATGATTAAAATTGCATTATCAATGCACAACAGGTGACATTGTGTTCAACAGTAAGAATGTGGATTATTTCCCTCAGAGAGCCTTGTAGACTGTTTTTTATGTACCACTAAAGTTGGAAAATTTCTTTAAATTATAGCTTACAGTTCAGTACCAAAGGTGCATTTGGGCAAAGTAGACTGTGAATACAAAGTCCTCACACTATCTCCCATGGGAAATTTCCCCACCCATTAACCTTCTAAGAAGGCACTGGCCTTTTCTATCACGTGACTCTACTCCTAAATACCTAAAGCACAAATAAATGGGAGCAGACTCCTGGCACAAAGACAGCCGGTGCAGGGTGACCTCTGACTCTTGCCTTCTGACCTACAGTTTGACAAGATGCGTTGACCTAATCCCTGTGCTCCCTTGAGAGCTGGGAAGCTGAAGAGTGAGGCGGTAGCAGCACAGTGGATGCTCAGAGGGAGAGCTGGTGGCCGGCGCAGAAGCTCCAGGGGAAGTCAGAGCCACGTGCAAGCCAACGGCTCAAGAATTAAGGATCAGGCCACACAGAGGACAGAGGAAGCAGGACGAGCCTCTGTACAGTGAGGAGCAGAGGTGTGTAAGAAAGAGAGTAAATATGTGGTGAAGGAGAGGAGGAAAGAGGGAGCAAGGCAGGAAGGAGAACAAACGCTCCCCAGAGCTGCTGGCATTCCTGACAACTGCTAGCTCCTGTCCTTTCATTTGCTCCTGCAAAATCTCCTGGCTTTTGATTTGGAATCCCCTGCAAAAGGCAGGAGCAACAGACTGGTATTTAAACTGGAGTGGGGGTGGGGTCTGTCTGCTGGAGAGTTTCAACCACGTAGACACGGCCTCCAAGTGAGGTTAGGTAGTGCCCTCACCATATGCTTTTTTTTTCCTGTCTATGCTTCTTCTAACATTCAAAAGTGCATCACTTTAAGCATATTACAAAATTTCTTGGAACTTCCTGTTTTCTTCTGTGATTGTATTACATAGTTTTTGTGTGCACTACACTTTGATTCCAGAATTTAAATGTTCAGTCATAATAAACACTTGTCTGGAGGAATTGGGTGGGGTTCGTTCACTGTCTAAAGTAAAACTGAGCCCATCAGAGAATCATCAATATAAAGCGATTCGAGTGCATGAACTGGGGAGTCAAACATGATATGAGGCCTCCTCTGCTTACTAACCTGTGTGACTGTGATAGACCTCAGCT